TGTGAACTCAGGCAGGAAAAACTTTCTGGATCACGCACCTCCTTGTGCTTGGCCACGACCCTGCACAAGGGCCGTGGCTGCCAGCGTCGGTGCTGATTTGGTGGGAGGGGTGGTCTCCACACACCCAAGTCCCTCCCAAAGGAGTCAGCCTCGGGGACACTGACAACTCAGGGAGCTTCTCCAACGTACAGCAGAGAAGCTTCTAGAAGTAGAGGAGGCGTCCAGTGCAGCAGACAGCCCTGCCCACCGTCTCCGAGACCCCGTGGCTCCACCAGCAGGGCAGGAGATGAACACACGCTCAGGTTCTGCGGGCAGAGCTGGGTACTTTCTTCTAGATTGGTCTCCGCAAACAGAAGGCTGTTCGTTCTAAATGACACGGGGGGAGGAGAGTGATCAGCAGCTCCTCCCTGGGGGCATCCCAGGCACCGAACACCCTACAACCCGCACCAAAACGGCACTGACCAACGTGGAGCAAGAAGGTGTTGGCATCAGATTGGCAAACAGTGGGCAAGAGCCCGCCGGCCCCAGATTCCGGAGCAGAGCCGTGCATCCCACGGTGTCCTGTCCCGCCGCTGGGACAGGCAGGGTTCTAACCCTGGGGGTTTGCATCTCAGGGCGGGCCCTGCTCTCCCCTCCCGCTTGCCCCTCCCGCAAGCCTGGTGGCTGGGGGTGTCACCCAAGCCAGGCCCGTCCTGCGGGCACAGCCCTGAGGAGGGGGAAGCACCTGGTTTGCACTCTGACACACAATGTCTCCTGTTCTAGGAAGCTTCCCATCTCGGGCCTGCTGGGTGCACACTCATGGCCCCCATCCCTGCCTCCAAGTTCTTACCTCTGCCTGACCCCTGCTCCTTCCTGCCAGTACCCGTCGGAGCCCTGCACGCGGCCGATCTCCCACCTGCCTGCCCCCCATCTCCCATGTCCTCCCAGCTGAGGCCACAACAAATAAAGGACCCCCCTCAAAGACCACCACGCACCACGCACATGGGCCTCAGCTTCTCTGCTTATGCTCTTCCCCCAGCTCACATCACCCAGGACCCCATTCCTAAACCCAACCCCCCCAACATCTGCCACCTCCTGCAGAAGCCAGTGGGCTCACCTGCCACCACACAGTGGTCATTCCAGAGCTGGACACCCCAGCATCCTCTCCCAGAACCAAAGCATGTCCCCTCAGGACCCCCTCCCAGAATCAGGGTATGTCCTCCCCAGGACCCCCTCCCAGAATCAGGATGCATCCCCCTGGGACCTCCTCCCAGAGTCAGGGTGCATCCCCCAGGGCCCCCTCCCAGAATCAGGGTGCATCCCCCCAGGACTCCCTCCCAGAATCAGGGTGCGACCCACCAAGGCCCCTCCCAGAATCAGGGTGCATCTCCCAGTACCCCCTCCCAGAATCAGGGTGCATCCCTCCAGGACCCCCTCCCAGAATCAGGGCACAACCCACCAAGACCCCTCCCAGAATCAGGGTGCATCCCCCCAGGACTCCCTCCCAGAATCAGGGTGCGACCCACCAAGGCCCCTCCCAGAATCAGGGTGCATCTCTCAGGACCCCCTCCCAGAATCAGGGTGTGTCCCCCCGAGACCCCCTCCCAGAATCAGGGTGCATCCCTTCAGGACCCCCTCCCAGAACTGGGGCATATCCCCGGACCCTTTCTCAGAATTGGGGTGTGGCCCCAGCACCCCCTCCTGGAATCGGGGTGCATCTGCCAATATCCTCTCACACATCACCAGGGTGCCCTATTACGGGCTCGGGGTCTGGAAAAGGCCCTAGAAGCTGCTATTAAATTGAATTCTTTGCTAATTGAGTCAAACATGAAAACACACACAGACTGTGACCAGGCCATTCGGTCGGGGGTCCCTCAGCTGGCCTCAGCACCTCCTGCTGTCCTGGGCCTGCCGGGCGGTCCCCAGGCAGTGGAGGCACCAGGTGCCTGCAGGTACTTGAGAGCCCCCGAGAGGCGGCCAAGCCCGTCTGAGCAAGCCCATCTGAGCCATCCCAGAGACTGGGCTTCATGAGCTAAAAGCAGCTGGGCCGGCGGGAGGCAGGGAGTGACCCCGAGGTCAGGGGACGGGGCAGCCCAGAAAGCCGTTGCTGTGTGAGGGACCAACCCACAGGCTGCAACAGGAAAGGCGTGCGGGTCAAGGTCCTGACTCAGCCAGTCTTGGGACGGCCAGGGACGCATGGAAGTGACCTGTCCGCACTCACCCTCCTGTTCCTAAAGCACCAGATGAAACCACCAAGAGAAATAACTGCTATGTTTGAAAATAGGAACAACTGCATTTTTACACAAAGAAAAGCAAGGCCAGGGAAACAGAGCTAGGGACACAGGGATCCCTCCTGAAGAAGCACCGGCCTCCCCACAGTGAGCAGCTCGTTCGCGCCCACGGGCACAGTGAGAGCACGGACCGGGAGGGATGCAAACGCACATGCCACGGAGAAGCACGTGAACACGTGGAGAAGCGGCCATCTGCGTTACTGAACGGCCAGGAGGCACAGACCTAACACACAGTGGGGGACGGAGAAAGAGGACCAGACTCATCGCCGGGGCCGCGCCCCAGAACCCCGACCACCGGGCCCACCTCAGCCTTCCCACCCACCGATGGCGGGCCCTCCAGAGCCGAGCGTCATCGGGGGTAACTTATAAGACGGAGCATAGCATCATTTGGAAAAGACCCCCAAGCCCAGGCAGAGAAACGACGTCGTATTTGCTCTCTCAACAACATGACCGAGGAATACGTCCAGTCTACGTGAACAAAGATGCTCGTGAGGAGTAACATTTTTAAAACGTGGAGTCTGCTGAGAACACAGTCACGCACACGCACGCACAGGGAAAAGGAGCAGCTACCTCAACTTACAGTTACAGCACTGGTGGACCCGTCCATGCAAAAATGCAGAAAACAGAATTATCCAACATGACAACGATACGGGAAAAGAAGATGCACAAAGACCAAACCTGGAGGACACAGAGCGCAGTCTCACTGGGCTGACGGGATTGGGTGGCGTTTACCGTGTCGCAGATTTCCCGAGTGAGAACCCCAGCCCCGAGCCTCCGTGAGTCTGGGCGCACTCCTCTGCAGGATGAGAAGACATGGCGCCACGAGTCTGTGCACAGAAGCGCGGTCCACATGGCGGCCACCACATGAGCATCGCACTCAGCCTTAGGAGACACGTTAGGGCCGGGACCTTACACAGTCCACGGAAAAGGCCACCAGCGTAAGAGAAGAAATGAAAATAGACACACAGCAAGCAAGGAAAGACACTGGGAAGGAAACGCAGAGGAGACAGAAACCAGGAGGAAGAGCAAAGGAAGGTTCAGAAAGACACGGGAACGGCCCCAGATGTCACTTCTTCCAGGACATCGGGGAGGCGACAAAGGGGGGATGACGACACCAAACTCGAGCGTCTCAGAAGCGGTTAAAAGCCTCTCCGTTGGTGGGGGTGACACCGCAGCAGAAATGCTCAGGGCGCAGCCCCCGAGACTCACGATCATACACACGGCCACGCACGTGCATGCTCACCTCCACACAGTTACATGCACACTCCCACACGTGCGGACACACACACACATGTATACACACATATGCACATGCAGACCCGATTATGTGTACGCACATTTATCCGCACAATCCCCACATACATACACACACATGCACACACGCATGTACAGAGACCTCGGCATGCACAGTCCACATGGATGCAAACCCACACATGTACATACACACAGAGACACACACGCACACACACGCATGCATATCACACGTGCACATACATCTACACAGAGATCTGTAACTCCCACGGACGCGTCCATCCACAGACACACACACACGACCTAAACACACGTGCGTCATCTGCTTCTAAGCTGTAACCCACCTTCACTGTAAACACTAGGTATCGTTAGAGTATCTATAAATAAACACACGTGCGTGGGTGTTTTAAGTGCACAGCCCATACTCCGCGCCCTGCGCTCGAACCCAGCGGGCTCTCGAGTACCAAGCAATCCCATCTGCCACCCCTACGAGCACAAGGCTCGGTCACCGACACTCTGGTAAAGCAGAGCCTGGGACCCCCCCCCATTACGGGCCTTGTCTGGAGCTCCCAGACCATGCCGTGGGCCCAGGACAGCAGCGGACCGGGAGACACCACTGACAGGGACAAGCCCAGGGACACGCGGCTGACAGTGGCTCTGGGCGGTGGGAGCCGGTCCAGCTCACCCTCTAGACAGGGGTGAGTGGTCCCGCTGCCCCAGCAGGCTGTGGCAAGAGCCGGGCAGATGCACCCCAGCTTCACAGCCCAGCTGCTGGTGCGCGGTCACCATGACGACCACCGTCACAGGGACACCCTCGGGGTCAGGGGAGGCTTCGCCTCGCGGTGGGTCACTCTGGCCGGCAGGTCAGGGCCCACCACATCTGCGCCAGGGCCAGCCAGGACCTGCCTCATCCCCCCACCACCGCCCCCCAGCTCTGCAGAAACTGATTCCAGCTGAATCCCACCCCAACACCCGTCCCCCCCAAGCAAAACACCCCCCACTCCGTGCTTTCAAGCAGCTCAGCCCCCTCCAGGGCAACAAACCCATGGGGTGAGCTCTGCAGCTCTCCCTGACTCCTCCCAGCCCTACAGCGTCACCTGGGTGCACCTGTCTCACCAATGGGGAAACTGAGGCTGGGGGCCACACAGCATGGCAGATCCTCCATCTCCAGGTCTAGGGAGGCCCCACTGCCGCTGCCCTGTCTCCTCGGGGGAGGGGGCCAACCTGGGCTTGATGTCCCTAACCATCCTCACCCTGTGTTCTGTGCTCCCCACCTTGTGCTCCCTGCCCCGCACCCCAGGCCCGCACTCCCTCCTCCACACCCCCCACCCAACTCTGTGCTCCCCACCCTGTGCTCCCCACCCCGTGCCCCCTTCCCCCACCCCCTGCTCCCCGCCTTGTGCTCCCCACCCCATGCTCCCCACCACCCTGCATCCCCACCACCCCGCATCCCGCAGCCGACAGCCCCACCACACCAACCTGCTTCTCGTTCTCGTCCTCCAGCCTCAGCCGGTCTTCGATGCAGTTCCGGGCCTGCAGGAAGGCTTTCCTTTGGGAGCGTTCGACCAGGACCCTCACAAACACTCCATACATGTTCACGCTGAGGAAGAGCAGGGCGTTGGCACCAAGCTGGAAGGGAGAGAACACAGAGCACCATGTGCGTGGGGCGCTAGCTCGGCAGAGGCTCCCACACCCTCCGACGAGCAGCCCGTGGAACGACCACGCTGCCCAGGGTGGCCGGGGCGCCGGCCGGACCCACCGTGCACAGCTGACTTCCTGTGGTCATATAGCAGACCAGCATGCAGAGAGCGCCCCCCAGATTCACGTGCAAGCCTGTCGCCCAGCACCCCAGAGTGTAGCTGCATTTGGACATGAGGTCTTTCGAGAGGTAATTATGTTAAAACGAGGTCACTGGGGAGGGCCGTGTGACTGGCATCCTCCTAAGACGAAGGGCCCAGGACACAGAGGTGCATGCATGCACGAGCCTGTGAGGACCCGGGGAGGAGACGGCGTCTATGCCCAGGCAAGGCCTCGGGACGACCGGCCCCCACACTCCAGGACCCACAGGTCCGGCCTCCAGGCCTGGGAGGGACAGAACTCTGCTGCTCAGGCTGCTGGGCAGGGCTGCGCGTGACAGCCACCCCAGGACGCCAGCCGAGAAAACACGACGCCGGGAGGAGCAGATGCTCCCGAACCAGGCAGCGAAGGGAAGCCGATTAGAAGCAAAAGGAAGAAAGGACCACGTCATACTCGAGCACGAAGCGAGCACTTGAGATGAGTGACCATCCAGGGAACACAGCGTCCAGAGCTCCCTGCTCGGCCCGCACCCCTGGGCTCCCACTCCATTCAAAGGATGGGAATCGAGGAAGGGGCCAGCGAGAAAGACCCGCCTGGGGCGCCAGCCACAGCCCAGACTCGGAGGCTCGCACCTGGGGGACCAGGAGGGGGGCCTTGCAGAATGTCTGCTTTTAGCGGCCTTAACTCGAGGCCAGTCCGGACCGCCCGGGGGCCCACGATGGCCACACCGCAGGTCGCAGCAGACCCGGGGAGGATCAGACCCCACTTCCCCACTCAGCCTCCTCTGCTGGTCTGTCCCACCGCTCTCGGGCCCAGGGTCAGCAGGACCACAGCACAGATCCGGGCCCCGGGCCCACCTCCCCAAGGAGCTGCAGGTGTATGAGCATCGCCCAAAGCCACTGCCCTCAGTCTCTGTGAAGAGGTTAGACGGGAAGCACGCACTTCCTGCAGGGTCTGGGGGTCACTGCCGCTCTCCACCGGGCGCTGCGACTTGCACACGATTACATGGGATGAATCAAAACGGAGGCGGGCGGGCAGCGGTCCTGGGACAAGCGGCAGGACAAGGGAGGGCAGGCCACGAGGCCGCGTGGACGGAGAACCTGCAGCACCTGCTGCTGCCAGAGGCTGGGGGCAGGGAGCAGGCGGGGACGCAGACCGGGCGAGGGCGGGCTGCAGCCTCGAGGACCGTGTGGGGCGCACTGAGGACAGACTGCGGCACGGAGGACCGGTGAGTGTGACATGTTCCTCAGGAGGGACACACGGGGCCGCGGTTGCAGACAACAGAGCTGTTCAAGAAGGTGACAGGGACACGAATCCCCAGGGCCTCGCACAGAACCGTCCTCCCCCCAAACACGGGTGAGCTTGCCGGCACACCGGGGACACCAGGCTCACGTCCACCTGCCAAGCTCACATCTCAAAGGACGCGGGAACGTACCATCAGGACAGCGCCCCTCCACACCGAGCAGTCAGGAAACTGCCGTCCCAGTGAGGGTCCAGGGGGCCGCCCGAGTCCTGTGACCACGCTGAGCCCGTCACCCCCGTGTGACCGGCCATCCTCCTGTGACCCTCTAACCCTGCTGTTGTCCCCTCGCTGGAGCACGCATCGCCTGAAGCAGGTGCAGGGCTGGGAGGACCTCCTGGCCTCCCCGGGGGCGGGTTCAGCATGGCCGTCCCGGGGCCCGGGCCGTGTTTTCTGTCCTCTCAGACCATCTGCTCCACCTGGGGATCAGTCGTGCTCACTGAGGAGCCGCAGGTCGGAGGCACGGAAGAAACGACTCAATACTGAAACGCGTGCTGCGCGTGGCTAACACGCCCACAGGCACGGTCGTGGGCGCCCTTCCAAACATCCAAACAAGCCCGCCCACCGCACAAAGCACACGGCTTTTCCCGGTCGACATGTCACCGGTCTGGCTCTGCGCGCCCCCGCCCGGCCTCCATGTGCCATTTGGAAGGCAAGGGAACCAGAGAGACCCAGGACGTCCTCCCGGGACACGGCACCAACCCTCCTGAGACGAGACGCCCTCCATCCCGGCGCCCCCAGTCCCCACACCGAGGGGCCAGCACCGCGGACAGCCCCGCACTGGGGCCGGGTCGCCACCAGACACGGCTCTTCCACAAAGTAAGGCCTCAGCCGGCCAGGAGTGGCACTTGGGGAATGTGGTGTCCCCGGGGAGGCTGGGGCAGAGGTGGGACACGGGCCACGGGGCAGACCGTGGGGTCATGGGAGAAGCGGCCAGCAGAGTGAGGGCAGACCGGGTCACCCCTCTACACACACCCTCGTCACTCCTGCCCTCCCCTCCGGCCATGATGACCCAGCCAGGGGCTTCCATGCGCCCCACCGCCTGCCCACCTGCTGTCCCCTCCCTCCTCCCTCACCCCCTCCCCCGGGATCAGGCGCAGCCACCGCCCAACGGGCCGCAGAGAGGTTTCACCACCGGCCACCTAATCAGTGATCAGTGACGAGGGTGACAACGCAGAGAAGCGTGCCCAGAGTCACCTGCCGGCAGGTGTGGCCCAGACGGGGTGTCGGTTCACACCGGCAGCCAAAGGGACTGCCCGGGCGAGACAGGCCGAGGGGACCCCGAGCTCGGGGAAGGGCGTGTTGGGGTCCAGACCGAGCACCCCAAGAGCCACAGGCTGGCAGGGCCGCACGGCAAGGCTGGGGCAGGAGCTTCAGGGCTAGTGAGGGAGGGGGTCAGCCGCAACGCCGCTGCCTCTCCCCTCTGGCCTCTGGGGTTGGGGCTCTGCCGGGAGGTCAGTGCCCTAAGACGCTGCTCACAGGCCCCCTCCTCCCCGCCTCGCTCTGAGGAAACCCAGCCCCCCCGGCCCCCCCCGTTCCAGCTGCTCACTCCGGGGGTCTCAGGGCTGCCAGGCCCGGCCCCTCCTCATTGCTCCTTGACCCCACACCCGACTCAGGACACCCAATCAGGCCCTGGGATGCTGCCCACGGGCTTGCCACGCCCCTCCGCATCCTTCCCGCTCCTCGCTCCTGCCTTGGTTGCTCAGCACTCCACCAGCAGACCCCCACGAGGGGGTCCCGGTGAGGAAGGCCCTGTGCCCTGGCCTCTTCCTTGAGCTGCTGTCCCAGCCAACACCTCCAGAGCCCATGGTACGTGGCTGCACGAACCCATCCTCCGGCCGAGGACTGGTCCTCACTGCACCCACCAGCATCCACTCCACAGACACACCAGCACTGAGGAGGGGCCGGCCCCAGGCTGAAGGGGCCCGTGCACATGCTGCAGCCCCACGCACCCGGCCTCCACGTGCCTGCCCCACGCACCCGGCCTCCACGCGCCTGCCCCACGCACATGGCCTCCACGCGCCTGCCCCACGCACCCGGCCTCCACATGGCTGCCCCACGCACCCGGCCTCCACGCACCTGCCCCACGCACCCGGCCTCCACGCAGCTGCCCCATGCACCTGGCCTCCATGCGCCAGCCCTACGCACCTGTCCTCAGCCCTCCTTGGCCCCACCAGCCCACCTTCCCTCACAGCCACCCAGCTTTGAGCCCAGGCTCAGGTCCCAGTGCCCAGCCTGTCCTTCCAGCCCCTTCCAGGCCCCTCTGGCCTGTGCCGCCTACCTGGCACCACCTGCTCCAGCCTGCGGAGGTGGGACCCTACCCCTAGGCCAAAGATCCCCAGTCCACACCTTCATCCTGGTCCCGCCCCAGCCACTGCGCCTCTCCTGCTGGGTGTCTACTCAGCCCTGCATGGGACAGGCACTGACCCCTTCCACCACTCACCCCAGCAGCCGCTCCCGCCTCAACTGACCAGGGCCCCAGAACCCCCAGGCATGGCCCATTTCCACCATCACACACCCTCGGGGCTCCACTTTCCACAGATGGGCCGCCTGCCCATGCCCACCACCTCCTGCCATGCTCCTGAGACACCCCTTCTCAGATGGGCCTGCCTCTGCTCCAGCCACCTGGTCCAGAAGCTCCCTGGGCCCCCAGCCCTCCTGTCCTGGCCTGCCTTGCTCAGAGCCTCTCCCTGGGCAGGGGCCCTCTTCCCATGGCACCCAGTTCACGCCCAGCCTCCAAGAGCTCAGCTCAGACATGACCTTCTCAGAGCAAGGGACCCTGAGTACCTGGGCGTCACAGAGCTTCCTGGAAGCTGGCTCTGTGCTCCTTCCTTCTGTTGTTTTCAACAACAGTTACCAGCTTCCAACACACGATGGTTCACTCACCTACCACCTTCCCCACCCGCTGTCTGCCCCTCCAGGGGGTCTCAGCCTGTGGAGCCCACCGACGGACCCCCGAGGCTGGGATGGAGCCTCTCGTGAAACCGGCGCCCTGGTGTTTGTTGAATGAATAACTAAGGGCACATGGGAGCAAGGGGCCAGGCCAGGCACTGCTGGCAGGGCAGATCTGCACTGCTCCAGGCTATCCGGATGGGACCCCGCGAGATGTGTTCCAGTCCTCACATCTGTGATCAGGTGGGTGGGTGGGCAGTGACCCCCACTTTCCCATGACCCACAGAGGGGCACAGAGGCAAGGCCTCGACCAGCCTGACATCTGAAGTGACACGGCTTCTCGAGCAGGCTGAGCCTGGGCAGAGCCCCGGGTGGCGTGGGGACACGGCCCGCAGACACGTGCGTATACGGACCAGATCTCACAGCCCTGGGATCAGCACTGGGGGAGGGCAGGTCCTTGTCCCTCCTGGGCCCTCCCTGCCTGCCCCCTGCAGGCCAGCAAGACAGAGGAGACTCTCAATTTCCACCTGCACCCCACCTTTCCTACGTGGGCCATGAAGGACACCACGGGAAGAACTCCAGACCTGTGCTGGCACAGGGGGACTTGGTGGCCTGAGGCCTCTCCTGGTTCCCGAAAGCT